CTGTCAGGTTCTCTGTCAGGTTCTCTGCCAGGTTCTCTGTCAGTTCTCTGTCAGGTTCTCTGTAGGTTCTCTGTCAGGTTCTCTGTCAGGTTCTCTGTCAGGTTCTCTGTCAGGTTCTCTGTCAGGTTCTCTGTCAGGTTCTCTGTCAGGTTCTCTGTCAGGTTCTCTGTCAGGTTCTCTGTCAGGTTCTCTGTAGGTTCTCTGTCAGGTTCTCTGTCAGGTTCTCTGTCAGGTTCTCTGTAGGTTCTCTGTCAGGTTCTCTGTCAGGTTTTCTGTCAGGTTCTCTGTAGGTTCTCTGTCAGGTTCTCTGTCAGGTTCTCTGTAGGTTCTCTGTCAGGTTCTCTGTCAGGTTCTCTGTAGGTTCTCTGTCAGGTTCTCTGTCAGGTTCTCTGTAGGTTCTCTGTCAGGTTCTCTGTAGGTTCTCTGTCAGGTTCTCTGTAGGTTCTCTGTCAGGTTCTCTGTCAGGTTCTCTGTCAGGTTTTCTGTCAGGTTCTCTGTCAGGTTCTCTGTCAGGTTCTCTGTAGGTTCTCTGTCAGGTTCTCTGTCAGGTTCTCTGCCAGGTTCTCTGTCAGGTTCTCTGTCAGGTTCTCTGTCAGGTTCTCTGTCAGGTTCTCTGTCAGGTTCTCTGTAGGTTCTCTGTCAGGTTCTCTGTCAGGTTCTCTGTCAGGTTCTCTGCCAGGTTCTCTGTCAGGTTCTCTGTAGGTTCTCTGTCAGGTCTCTGTCAGGTTCTCTGTCAGGTTCTCTGCCAGGTTCTCTGTCAGGTTCTCTGTAGGTTCTCTGTCAGGTTCTCTGTCAGGTTCTCTGTCAGGTTTTCTGTCAGGTTCTCTGTCAGGTTCTCTGTCAGGTTCTCTGTAGGTTCTCTGTCAGGTTCTCTGTCAGGTTCTCTGCCAGGTTCTCTGTCAGGTTCTCTGTCAGGTTCTCTGTCAGGTTCTCTGTCAGGTTCTCTGTCAGGTTCTCTGTCAGGTTCTCTGTAGGTTCTGTCAGGTTCTCTGTCAGGTTCTCTGCCAGGTTCTCTGTCAGGTTCTCTGTCAGGTTCTCTGTAGGTTCTCTGTCAGGTTCTCTGTCAGGTTCTCTGTCAGGTTCTCTGCCAGGTTCTCTGTCAGGTTCTCTGTCAGGTTCTCTGTCAGGTTTTCTGTCAGGTTCTCTGTAGGTTCTCTGTCAGGTTCTCTGTCAGGTTCTCTGTAGGTTCTCTGTCAGGTTCTCTGTCAGGTTCTCTGTAGGTTCTCTGTCAGGTTCTCTGTCAGGTTCTCTGTAGGTTCTCTGTCAGGTTCTCTGTAGGTTCTCTGTCAGGTTCTCTGTAGGTTCTCTGTCAGGTTCTCTGTCAGGTTCTCTGTCAGGTTCTCTGTCAGGTTCTCTGTCAGGTTCTCTGTAGTTCAGGTTCTCTGTCAGGTTCTCTGTCAGGTTCTCTGTCAGGTTCTCTGTCAGGTTCTCTGTCAGGTTCTCTGTCAGGTTCTCTGTCAGGTTCTCTGTCAGGTTCTCTGTAGGTTCTCTGTCAGGTTCTCTGTCAGGTTCTCTGTCAGGTTCTCTGCCAGGTTCTCTGTCAGGTTCTCTGTCAGGTTCTCTGTAGGTTCTCTGTCAGGTTCTCTGTCAGGTTCTCTGTCAGGTTCTCTGCCAGGTTCTCTGTCAGGTTCTCTGTCAGGTTCTCTGTCAGGTTCTCTGTCAGGTTCTCTGTAGGTTCTCTGTCAGGTTCTCTGTCAGGTTCTCTGTAGGTTCTCTGTCAGGTTCTCTGTCAGGTTCTCTGTCAGGTTCTCTGCCAGGTTCTCTGTCAGGTTCTCTGTCAGGTTCTCTGTCAGGTTCTCTGTCAGGTTCTCTGTAGGTTCTCTGTCAGGTTCTCTGTCAGGTTCTCTGTAGGTTCTCTGTCAGGTTCTCTGTCAGGTTCTCTGTCAGGTTCTCTGTCAGCTGAGGTTGAGCTGTTTTAGTTTACATTGAGTTCTATGGGGAACATTTCTGGGCAGCCCATGTGAAGTTACTCTGGTTTACTCTGGTTTAGTCTGGTTTAGTCTGGTTTAGTCTGCAGTACCGTGAGAATCCCCCGAGCACATGGTCCTTCAGCTCCAACCTAATAATACTCTTGGAAAATATGTTGACAATTTGCTACTTCCGGTTAGCCAGGAAGTCACTCAACAAGTTTGCTAAACTAAAAACTAATAAAAAACTAAAATAAATCATTTTCCAATGGCTCATAAGGAGCCAAAACAATAGTAATAATAATAATAATAACTTCTGGCCCAGAACAGTAATTGCACTGATAGTGTATGATTACAAATACAGTACTTTTGTACTTAGATCGTTCGCGCGCTCTGATTGGCTGATTTGTGGTCTGATATCTTCCCGTCTCGGACCGTTACCATGACGATCGGTCCGCAGCCCGTATCAGATTTGATATCTTTCCTCGGTAAAACAGAAATAATGAGCGACTGGGAGCATTCTCAGTGAATTCTATCATCAGGACGAGTTGGAAGAGCCAGAGGAAGTAATAACAGCAAATAACGACCAAAACACAACTCCAACAGTCAAGAAGAGATCGACAACTTGGTTACAGACCAGAAAGGTAAAACCAGGAGCAGGAAAACCAAGTGGGACATGAACATCACAAATATGTAAAAAGCATTGGTAAAGACACAGACTGAGAATTTACAGCGGGCGCCTCAATCCTCTGTTCTTCATGTCACAGTTTGACACTTTGGTCAAATGTGTTTTTACTTCAAACCCATCCATATTTGGATAGATTGAAAATAGTCATCAAATAAAACATTTGTTAACCTCGCTTGCTCGGTTCGTACCAAAAGGCCACGGTCTGATATTTTTCTGCTGGGACTCTGAGGAGCACAGGGACTGGCTTCCTGCTGGTACTCTGAGGAGCACAGGGACTGGACTCCTGCTGGGACTCTGAGGAGCACAGGGACTGGCCTCCTGCTGGGACTCTGAGGAGCACAGGGACTGGACTCCTGCTGGGACTCTGAGGAGCACAGGGACTGGCCTCCTGCTGGGACTCTGAGGAGCACAGGGACTGGACTCCTGCTGGACTCTGAGGGACTCTGAGGAGCACAGGGGACTGGGCCTCCTGCTGCTGGACTCTGAGGAGCACAGGGACTGGACTCCTGCTGGGACTCTGAGGAGCACAGGGACTGGCCTCCTGCTGGGACTCTGAGGAGCACAGGGACTGGACTCCTGCTGGGACTCTGAGGAGCACAGGGACTGGCCTCCTGCTGGGACTCTGAGGAGCACAGGGACTGGACTCCTGCTGGGACTCTGAGGAGCACAGGGACTGGCCTCCTGCTGGGACTCTGAGGAGCACAGGGACTGGACTCCTGCTGGGACTCTGAGGAGCACAGGGACTGGACTCCTGCTGGGACTCTGAGGAGCACAGGGACTGGCCTCCTGCTGGGACTCTGAGGAGCACAGGGACTGGCCTCCCGCTGGGACTCTGAGGAGCACAGGGACTGGCTTCCTGCTGGGACTCTGAGGAGCACAGGGACTGGACTCCTGCTGGGACTCTGAGGAGCACAGGGACTGGCCTCCTGCTGGGACTCTGAGGAGCACAGGGACTGGCCTCCTGCTGGGACTCTGATGAGCACAGGGACTGGCCTCCTGCTGGGACTCTGAGGAGCACAGGGACTGGACTCCTGCTGGGACTCTGAGGAGCACAGGGACTGGCCTCCTGCTGGGACTCTGAGGAGCACAGGGACTGGCCTCCTGCTGGGACTCTGAGGAGCACAGGGACTGGCCTCCTGCTGGGACTCTGAGGAGCACAGGGACTGGCCTCCTGCTGGGACTCTGAGGAGCACAGGGACTGGACTCCTGCTGGGACTCTGAGGAGCACAGGGACTGGACTCCTGCTGGGACTCTGAGGAGCACAGGGACTGGCCTCCTGCTGGGACTCTGAGGAGCACAGGGACTGGACTCCTGCTGGGACTCTGAGGAGCACAGGGACTGGACTCCTGCTGGGACTCTGAGGAGCACAGGGACTGGACTCCTGCTGGGACTCTGAGGAGCACAGGGACTGGACTCCTGCTGGGACTCTGAGGAGCACAGGGACTGGACTCCTGCTGGGACTCTGAGGAGCACAGGGACTGGTCCCTCTCCCTCTGGTGGTGGCAAAGGGAGTTACAGGCCGAGCGTAGTATTTTCTGCTTATAGATAATAATTCAGATTTTAAACCATGAAATTACAAAGTAAACACTCTCATCATCATTGTTTATATTTCTTTTTGAAGTTATTTCAAGTGTGAAGAGAGAAACACGTGGTGGTTTTGCGTTAGACCAAACCGAGAATACCCTGTGAGGCTCTCTGCTGATCCTGGAGGATTGTCTTTGCACATTTCTTGGAGCAGGGCTCATGAAGGAGGCTTATTATTCCTCCTGAAGGACGAGGACCAGTGGCACCAAAATATCCGTGCGATGCCAGGAGCAGCATGCCTCTGTGAGTGGGACCAGAATAGACACAATGGAATCAGTCGTGTCTTCTGTTGTCTCAGGCAGGAGCTCGACAAGAGACAGAGCTGTTCCTCCCATGGGTCTCTGCTCCCTCTGGGTTCTCTCTGGTCTCTCTCTGGTCTCTCTCTGGTCTCTCTCTGGTCTCTCCCTCTGGTCTCACTCTGGTCTCCCTCTGGGTTCTCTCTGGTCTCTCTCTGGTCTCTCTCTGGTCTCACTCTGGTCTCCCTCTGGGCTCTCTCTGGTCTCTCTCTTGTCTCTCTCTGGTCTCCCTCTGGTCTCTCTCTGGTCTCTCTCTGGTCTCTCTCTGGTCTCTCTCTGGTCTCTCTCTGGTCTCTCTCTGGTCTCTCTCTGGTCTCTCTCTGGTCTCTCCCTCTGGGCTCTCTCTGGTCTCTCTCTGGTCTCGCTCCGGTCTCTCTCTCTGGTCTCTCTCTGGTCTCTCTCTGGTCTCTCTCTGGTCTCTCTCTGGTCTCTCTCTGGTCTCTCTCTCTGGTCTCGCTCCGGTCTAGAGATGGAGTAGAATGGATTGGATAAAGTTGCGGAAGATTCTCTGAGTTTGGAGCAAATATGGGATTCAGTGCATCAGAGATTATCCTGGTGTCAGTCAGTCAGAGCATCACAATCATCGGTAAGACACACACACAGACAAACACAGGCTGTAGACCCAGGACTGAGGCTGTAGACCCAGGACTGAGGCTGTAGACCCAGGACTGAGGCTGTAGACCCAGGACTGAGGCTGTAGACCCAGGACTGAGGCTGTAGACCCAGGACTGAGGCTGTAGACACAGGACTGAGGCTGTAGACACAGGACTGAGGCTGTAGACCCAGGACTGAGGCTGTAGACCCAGGACTGAGGCTGTAGACCCAGGACTGAGGCTGTAGACCCAGGACTGAGGCTGTAGACCCAGGACTGAGGCTGTAGATCCAGGACTGAGGCTGTAGACCCAGGACTGAGGCTGTAGACCCAGGGCTGAGGCTGTAGACCCAGGACTGAGGCTGTAGACCCAGGACTGAGGCTGTAGACACAGGACTGAGGCTGTAGACCCAGGACTGAGGCTGTAGACCCAGGACTGAGGCTGTAGACCCAGGACTGAGGCTGTAGACACAGGACTGAGGCTGTAGACACAGGACTGAGGCTGTAGACCCAGGACTGAGGCTGTAGATCCAGGACTGAGGCTGTAGACCCAGGACTGAGGCTGTAGACCCAGGACTGAGGCTGTAGATCCAGGACTGAGGCTGTAGACCCAGGACTGAGGCTGTAGACCCAGGACTGAGGCTGTAGACCCAGGACTGAGGCTGTAGACCCAGGACTGAGGCTGTAGATCCAGGACTGAGGCTGTAGACCCAGGACTGAGGCTGTAGATCCAGGACTGAGGCTGTAGACCAGGACTGAGGCTGTAGATCCAGGACTCTGAAGGCCTGTCTCACACCTATCCTCCTGTCGTAGGTAAAGCGTGGCTCATGGTCATGCTCTTCCTCCGCCTCCTCCTCCTCCTCGTCGCTGGGTTCCCTCTGTACCAGGACGAGCAGGAGCGGTTTGTCTGTAACACCATCCAGCCCGGCTGCGCTAACGTCTGCTACGACATCTACTCTCCCGTCTCGCTCTTTCGCTTCTGGCTGCTGCAGCTCGTGGCGCTGTGTGTTCCCACCGCGCTCTTCATCATCTACGTCTCGCACAAAGTCACCGACTCACTTCAAATCGACCCACACACGGCGCAGCTGCACGTGCGGAGGCTCGGCACCAGCTTCAGCGGAGCCTACGTGCTGCAGCTGCTGTTGCGGACCGTGTTGGAGGCGGGGTTTGGGGCGGCGCACTATTACCTGTTTGGTTTCTACGTTCCCCGGAGGTTCCTGTGTCAGCACACGCCGTGCACCACACAGGTCGACTGCTACATTTCCAGACCCACGGAAAAGACCCTGATGCTCAACTTCATGCTCGGCGTTGGAGCCCTCTCCGTGGTCCTGAACGTCCTGGATTTCGTTTGTGCCGTGAAGCGTTCAGTGCGACACAAACAGAAGTTGAAGCTCGAAGCCGTTTATGAAGAAGAGTGTGTTGTCTCCGACCAGAAGGATGCCAACGCCACCGAGAGCTTCCGCAGACGCCACGGCAGCAGGAGCTCCAGAGACGCCGTGGGTCTGGAGTCTCGTCCATGTTTGCCCGTAATCCAAGCCACCAACGAGAACAATGGGAACAACGGGAACGCCATCCAGGAAGACGTGCTGGAACGACAGGGCAGCGAGGTGGCGCTGTGTCCAGGAACGCCACGGTCCATCCGGGTTAGCAAGCGCGGGCGAGTGAAGCCCCCACCACCTCCTAGACGAGACCAGGTGGAGAGTGGACCAGCGGGGGGCCCTGATGGTGCAGCAGCAGCAGCAGCAGCAGTAGCAGCAGCAGCAGCAGCGTGTCACAGAAAACTCAAGAGTAGTTTGGTGGAGCTGAGCACAGGATCAGAGCTTCAGCCCAAAGATGAAGAAAAGAAATCTGAGTGGGTCTGAGGTTGGTGGACTAGAGGCCACCTGTGGTACTGCAGCCTACATCCACATGGACTAGAGGCCACCTGTGGTACTGCAGCCTACATCCACATGGACTAGAGGACACCTGTGGTACTGCAGCCTACATCCACATGGACTAGAGGCCTCCTGTGGTACTGCAGCCTACATCCACATGGACTAGAGGCCTCCTGTGGTACTGCAGCCTACATCCACATGGACTAGAGGCCTCCTGTGGTACTGCAGCCTACAACCACATGGACTAGAGGCCTCCTGTGGTACTGCAGCCTACATCCACATGGACTAGAGGCCACCTGTGGTACTGCAGCCTACATCCACATGGACTAGAGGCCTCCTGTGGTACTGCAGCCTACACCCACATGGACTAGAGGACACCTGTGGTACTGCAGCCTAAATCCACATGGACTAGAGGACACCTGTGGTACTGCAGCCTACATCCACATGGACTAGAGGACACCTGTGGTACTGCAGCCTAAATCCACATGGACTAGAGGACACCTGTGGTACTGCAGCCTACATCCACATGGACTAGAGGCCACCTGTGGTACTGCAGCCTAAATCCACATGGACTAGAGGACACCTGTGGTACTGCAGCCTACATCCACATGGACTAGAGGCCACCTGTGGTACTGCAGCCTAAATCCACATGGACTAGAGGCCACCTGTGGTACTGCAGCCTACATCCACATGGACTAGAGGCCACCTGTGGTACTGCAGCCTAGATCCACATGGACTAGAGGCCACCTGTGGTACTGCAGCCTACACCCACATGGACTAGAGGCCACCTGTGGTACTGCAGCCTAAATCCACATGGACTAGAGGCCTCCTGTGGTACTGCAGCCTACACCCACATGGACTAGAGGCCACCTGTGGTACTGCAGCCTACACCCACATGGACTAGAGGCCACCTGTGGTACTGCAGCCTAAATCCTCATGGACTAGAGGCCACCCACGGTACTTTAGTTTAGTTTATTAAGATCCCCATTAGCCACTGAGATGCAGTGGCTAATCTTCCTGGGGTCTCCTCAAAATCATTACATGCTTTTACATATTTTTATACATAAATCACACACACACACGACAATATGACAGCTCAGTGAGAAATCATATACAACCATGAAAAAAAATAAAAATAATAAAAATAATAATAATAATAACAAATGAACTTTCTCCAGTGGCTTCAGTCCAACTCAAATATAAAATATTATATTTGATGTATAATTAATGTTCATGTGTGAAAAGATATAGCTTTAATTTCTTTTGAAAATGAATTCTCTCACTTTCTTTGATCAGAAAGGAGGGCAACAAGTTCCATGCAACCATGGCTCGATAGACTACAGTTTTCTGCATTTTATTTGTTCTGCAAGCAGGGAGCACACACCTTAAATCACTACTTTGCCGTGTGGCATGATCATGAGAATTTGAAAACAGTCTCAATTTATTATATATTGTTTCAGGATTGTGTGACACTAAAACATTCCTGATAAACGTTAATAAATAATACTGTGTTCTGCTTTTTACAGTGAGCCAGGCTAAACTGTTGTGCATTGTTGTGACATTTGTTCTGTACGGGCAGCTCAATACAATTCTGGCAGCTTTGTTCTGAGCGACTTGTAATTTGTGTAGATTGTTTTCACATGTGTTTGACCAAACCACCGACGCATAATCCATCTGGGAAAGGACTAATGACTGCACAAGTCTCTTGGTCAACCACTGTGGCATACATTTCCTACAGTATTTGATCATCCCCATGCTTCTTCCCATTTTTTTAACTATACAATTTATGTGACTGTTCCATGACAACTTTGAATCAACTATTACCCCCAATAATTTTGTCTCTTCTACTTGTTCAATAAGGAGCCTAAATCCACATGGACTAGAGGCCAACACTGTTTTAACTTTAATGATGTGTGCTTTTATTGTTGTTGTGCTGTAGCACTTTGAGATTTGTATGTAAAGTGCATTACAAATTATTAACTGCTGCGTTTGACACTGTGGACCATGCAACTCTTTTAAATCGTCTTAAATACTGTGTGGGTGTCAGGGGGACCGCCCTGGACTGGTTTAGGTCTTGCCTGTCAGGGCGGTCCTTCACTCTGCTCCTTTGCACTGTGGAGTTCCCCAGGGCTCAATTCTTGGCCTTTTTCTTTTTGCCCTGTACCTCCTCCCACTCAGTGATATTTTTAAAAAACATGGCGTGTCTTATCACTTTTTATGCTGACGATTGTCAGATTTTTATGCCATTGAAGAAAGATAATCACAGCCCCCTGACACCCCTCCTTAACTGTCTAAGTGATGTCAAGGATTGGTTGGCCCAGAACTTTCTGAAACTAAATGAAAGTAGGTTATTTTGTTTGGCCCTAGCGCAAAAAAGTAAGCTGCAGTGTAGTTACTCTTGTTTGATTCTCGCCCAAAGACAAAGCGCTTACAGCCAGAGATGGACAGGCTCTTATCCTCCTGCAGTGGGACTCCTAAGATCCTCAGACTTCCTCTGGTTTCGATCACGTCACAAGTTTCTGCCAATCTTTTAGCAGCTATCGTGTCAGAGTTGGTGTAGGGCTTCGTCTGTATGTCTCAGCTCTAAAGTCACTGTTTGAGAGCCCAGTCCTTTATATCTTGTCGAAGAGAGGTGGAGCAGTAAAGAGAACATTGGCAGTATCTTTGGGCAGTTCCCTGTGTGAATTCTTTCAGTTTTGCTCAAGTAATTTACTGGAAACATAGCTTTTACAATCAGCCAGTGGCACTTACCAAACCGGTTCTCTCAGATGTCAGGCAGATGCCAGGCTGTATACACTGCACACAAAACAGGATCCATCATTCCTACACATGGTTCTGCCTCTGACTCTGAGCCCCCACTGGCCTCGGTCCTGCCCCTGAGAGACCCAGGTCCTGTTAGTTCTTCTTGAAGAAGCCCTCCTGGACTCCACTCACTACCTGTATTAGCTGCACCTGTATAAAAGACACCAGTCACACACTCAAACAAACTCCAACCTCTCAACAACCTAAAAAGAGTCGGGACCACAGTCTCAAAGAAAACCATCATTAACACACTCCGCCGTTCTGTATTAAAATCCCGCAGTGCACACCTGGTCCCCCTGCTCAAGCCTACGCATGCCAAGGCCCGTCAAGAGTTTTCCAGTGACCATCAGGATGATCCAAGGGAGGAATGAGAGTAAGTCATGTGGTCTGATGAGACAAAAGGGAAGGTTTTTGGTCAAAACTCCACACGCCGTGTTTGGAGGAAAGAAACATATTTCTTTGGAGATGCTTTTCTTCAAAGGGGACAGGACGACTACATCGTGTTGAGGGGAGGATGATGGGGCCGTGTGTCATGAGATCTTGGACAACAATCTCCTTCCCTCTGTAAGAGCATGGACCATTTGACCACAACCCCAAACACACAACCAGGGGCAGCGACCCCAAACACACAACCAGGGGCAGCGACCCCAAACACACAGCCAGGGGCAGCGACCCCAAACACACAACCAGGGGCAGCGACCCCAAACACACAGCCAGGGGCAGCGACCCCAAACACACAGCCCGGGGCAGCGACCCCAAACACACAACCAGGGGCAGCGACCCCAAACACACAACCAGGGGCAGCTAAGGAGAGGCTCTGGCAAATACTTATGTCCCACAATAAGATGGATGTAATGGAACGAGTTTATTTCTCTGGGTATTTTGGTTCATTTTTATGTAATTGTTGACTCCTCTGCATGTCGCACACGGGAAGTCGTGCCCCGGTCTTCTTCAGACATGATAGTTAGCAGTGACACAAGACACGAGACAGGTGACTATTTTCATGCGGGCAGCCATACTGTGTGTTTTCTCAAGTGGCTCCGCCTTTATTTAAATGTTGCGTAACCTTCCGCACTAGAAAGTAGTGCCAACATCGCACTATAACAATATAACACTGTAACACCCCCACTCGATGGTGACACTCATACATTTCAACTTTAAACACCAAACATAAAGGTACAAAACTTCTCTATTTTGGCCCTAGTGGCAGATTTTGTAAATACATCTGCAACCATGTTCTCAGTTGGGCAGTAAATGAGAACTATATTACCCTGCAACACATTGGATCGAATAAAGTGATACTTAATGTCCACATGTTTGCTCCTTTGGCGATTCACAGGGTTCCTTGCAAGACGGATAGTCCCTTGATTGTCCTCAAACACTTTTGTGGTTGGCTCAAAGTTGGGGTCCATGTCTCTGAGTAATTGTCTCAGGTAGAGCGCTTCTTGTACAGTAGCGGAAAGTGCTACGTACTCCGCTTCACATGTAGACAGTGCAACGGTTTGCTGCTTCTTTGTTTTCCACGAAACAATTGCACCGTTCTGACAGAGGCTGAAGCAGTATCCTGTAGTGCTCTTTCTGTCCTCTGGGTCGTTGGCCCAATCTGCATCAGAGTATCCAATCAGCTCGAGTTTAGTGTCACATTTGTGGTAACACAATCCCAAGTCTTTAGTTCCTTGTAAATATCGGTACACATGTTTTAATGCAGTCATGTGTTTTTCTCTTGGTTCAGACAAATGCTGTGACAATCTGCTCACAATCCAACTTATATCAGGCCTAGTACAGGTCATAATATAGATGAGGCTGCCTAACATACCTCTATATTTCTTTTGGTCTGTTATGTCCCCTTCTGGGTTCAAGTCACATTTGATTTCACTAGGAGTGCTTCTGGATTTGCAATCAGACATTCCAAAATTTTCAAGAATTTTGGCAATGTATCTGGTTTGGTTCATTTTGATAGAACCCTCTTTTTTATTGAAATCAATCCCCAAGAAATGGGTGAGTTCTCCGAGGTCTTTCATTTTGAACTTACTCTTCAGTTTATCTTGACCTCCTCCAGACAGGTTTTGTTGTTTGCAGCCAAAACTATATCATCGACCCACACTAACAAAATTACTTTTTCATTTTCTGACAGTTTTGTGTAGATACAGTGATCAGCCTGACTCTGTACAAAGTTGTTCTCCAGCAAGAAATCATGAAGCATAAGATTCCAATTTCTGCCTGACTGTTTAAGCCCATAAATGGATTTATTCAACTTGCACACCAGTTGTGTCCCATTTTTGGTCTTAGCCTGAAAACCTTCTGGTTGTTCCATGTATATCTCATGGTCAATCGGTGCATGCAAGTAAGCTGCCTTAACGTCCATTTGGTTCAGTGTTAAGTCATGCTGTGCTGCCAGCTGCATCAGCACACGTAATGACGTCAAATTAGCAGTCGGAGAGAACGTGTCCGAATAGTCCAGTCCCTCAACCTGACTGTATCCCTTTGCTACATATCTAGCTTTGTATGTCTCGTTTCCCTTCTCATCTTCTTTGAGAGCATATACCCACCTTCCCCCCACTGTCTGTCTACCCTCCGGTAACGGTACAAGTGAGAAGGTGTCATTTTCTTTAAATGTAGACATTTCATCCCTCATTGCCTTCTTCCAGTTTTCTGCTAGTGGTGAGGCCAGAGCCTCTTTGTAGGTCTGTGGCAACCCAACCGTAGCTCGATAACAGTAGTCTATAGTTAACATACTGCTCTGCACTGTACATTCATAGTCCTCCAAGTACTTTGGTCTCTTCCTAACTCTACCAGTTGTAGTTGGGGTCTGTGTATCAGTCCTTGTGTCACTACCTTGGTCTAGTTCACTGATTGTGTCATTCTCATCTGTTTGTGACTGAGTTACTTCATTTGGTTTAATTACCCATTCCACATAGTGGCCCTCTGGTTGATCTGTGTCAGTCTGTGTCTGACTCTCGGCAACGTCTCTAGTTATGAAATGAACCAGTCTGTGTTTCATAACTTTGTTTGTCTCTGGAAAATAAATCATATAAGCTGGTGAACTGCGATCAAAACCAACAAATATTCCCTTTTTCCCCTTTGGATCTAACTTCCTCGTGTTTCGTTCATACACCATACAGTTTGACCCAAACTTTTTCATCTTTGACAAATCTGGTCTCTTTCCGGTAAATAAGAAATATGGCGTTTCACCTGTTCTCTTACAGTAACACCTGTTTCTAATGACAGCAGCCGTCCTAGCTGCATATGGCCACAGCTCCTTAGGTAATCCTGATTCTATCAACATGCAACGCACCATTTCAAATAATGTGCGCCAGTTTCTCTCCGCAGTCCCATTTTGATGGGGGGAGTAGGGTGCTGACCTCTCGTGTTTGATAGAATTGTCCCTTAACAGTGACTGGTACTCTTCAGACGTGTATTCTGTACCATGGTCTGATCTTAGGCGTTTAACTTTACCATAAGGTGCTGTATCGGCCAGGAACTGCTTTGTTGCTTCAACTGCCTTATTTTTGTTCTTAAGGAAGTAAACATAAATGGCACCAGAGAAATCATCAGTAAAGGTAATGGCATATTTATACCCTTCATGTGACTCAGGCCGGGGCCACACCGCCTGCGTGCGAAGCGCTGCGTAGCTGGCAACCGTTGATTTTTTACTTAGCTCTAATTGAAGCGGATTGGAAGTGGCCACACTGTCCGCGCATACCACGCGCGAGGCACAGCGCGCTAGTGGCGCCACGCGTTGAGAAGATAGAATCAATCCTATTTTTGGGGGCGTGCGTCAAGCGCTCGTCTAGTGTCCCGAAGGAAAGACTTCTAAAATTGATGAAATATTATAATTCTGACATATACATGGGCATATAACTTTGTTCGTAGTCTAAACTAAACAGCTAGCAGGAGAATGACATTTTAGACAATATCAATAAAACTTCATTGATATAAATATTTGTATTAATTTATTTATAAAACGCTTTTCATAGGCTACAACATAACATTCAAAGTGCTTTACAGATTACCCATTTCTTTGATCACAAGAGGTCTTGTCAGCACCAAGAAATCAAGTCCACACAGCACTGGTAACTGAACAAGGAGTGAAAATGTTTTACCTGTACTCACTCCTTAGCTTCTTTGTTTCAACAGACTACTTCCTATTGGTTAATCAAGTTCCACACAGCGATACAGCCTACTACTTAACAAAGGACCAAAAGACTCAACATCCCCCAAAGCAACTTCGGTGTGAACATATGCAAATTTGTGTAGGGAAGGATTGGGAGGTCCTAACGCAACAGATTCAGGGTTACTTGGAACATTATGAATACATACAAGGCCAAGACATTCATATCCAGCATTAGGACACTGCACACCTTTTGAGACTTTTTACACAGTCTATGTTGATAGTACGCATGGTCAATGTTGCATCTGTACAAAAGGTGGATTTCCATGACAACAGTAAACAACTTTCCCGAACTGTGTTGTAATTACATTTAGTTAATAAATCACCGTTCAATAGTCACTCAAACAATGTTAATACAGGACGAAAGCGAGCGTTGTGATATTATATAAATTAGATATGCCATATTTCATAAATGTGCATTGATTTGAAAGGAAGCCTGTTCTCCTTTGTGGGGCGGTACAACGCTGCTGCTGCTGCTGCTGCTGCTGGTGTGGCCACTCTTGCGTCATCGCCCCACTCTGTTGACGAACGCAAGCAACGCGTTACTTCGCACGCCGGCGGTGTGGCCCCTACGTCATGTGGGGTGATGGGTCCACCCAGGTCTGAATGTATGAGCTCTAAGGGCGCTTTAACTCTAACATCTGCTTCCCTGCTCCTGCTTTGGGTAAATTTTCCCTGTAGACATGTTTCACACTGGTTTGGTTTGGACTTTTTATCCTTGATTCTCATGCCATCTACAACAGCTTCAAGTTTTTCAATATCACCATAGTTGCAATGACCCATTATTTCATGCCAAGTTTTCAGATCATAACATACATTAGATGAATCATTGTTCTCCTTCACAATGTCCAAATAATACAATCTGTCCTTTACCTTCATTTTACATGTCGTACCATCAGGAAGGATCATTTTGTTGTTGTTCCGCTCAAAATTGAACCTTGCTCCTTTCGAAGTTGCTGCCTCCACAGATAGAATGTTCTGTGGGTATCCTGGAATCAAAAGTGCATCTGTGAGCTTGACTCTCACCACTCTGCCATTGCTCTCGGTCAGCTCGATCTGGGCGTCGCCTTTCTTCAGAACGCTGCCAGCGATCCGCGTCCCATCTGCCAGCTGCATGACGTGGTTCTGAGGCCGGAACGTTTCATCAAACCTAATGAAGGCTTCTTCATGGGTCATGATGTGGGCAGAAGCACCGCTGTCCACGAGAAGACCCTCCGGTTGGACACAGTGAGGTTTCCATTCACTCGCCCTGAGTACAAACGCCTCTTCATGCACTTGTCCAGTGTCTTGAACCGTAGCCACTTTGGAGTTCCGCTGCGTTTTCTTGTCTTTGTTTCGGCAGTCTCTTGCTCTATGACCAACCTTTTCACAAATAAAGCATTCGCCATTGAAGTATTTCTTGTCTTTGTAGTCTTTGACTTTTGGTTTGAATGACTTGTAGTTTTCAGTCATTACCTCATCTGTTCTGGGTCTGCCGCGGTAGCGAAGAGAGCACTCGAAGCTTCTCAATCTGGCTTTGAACTCATTGAAGGTTAACGCTTCTCTTGTTTGTGTGACGTGGACAGAAAAGGGGCTGTATTCATCTGTAAGTCCTTTTAACACCATCGCCACCAATAGTGAATCACTGAGGGTCTCTTTAGCTCTAATCAGTGCGGCTACTATCTTCTCAACACGTGCGAGATAGCCCGCTAGCTCTTCTCCATCAGCCATTAGCACATTGGTGAGCTCTGTGTAAAGCCCGACGATTCGCGGCTTTTCTTCTGACTCAAAATGGCGCCGCAGGATTTCCAAACTCTTCTTTCCATCATCTGGCGCTTCATACAGGATTAGCTCTAGTGTCTTATCATCCAAACATCCACACAGTTCTGCATATGCCAGTTCAGTTTTCCTACCAGCCTCCGCTGCTTCTGCTGGATTAGCTGCCGCTAGCGCACCTCCGAGGATAGCATCTTTTAGCCCAATCGTTTTTAGGTACGCTAAAAACCTTGCCTCCCAAATGTGGTAGCGGGCTTCGTCTCCGTCAAACCTCGGCGGCAGTCCGCGTCCGTGTAGCGCTGTGCTTGGGGCTTGCCTGGGCCCATAACCTGTTGACTCCTCTGCATGTCGCACACGGGAAGTCGTGCCCCGGTCTTCTTCAGACATGATAGTTAGCAGTGACACAAGACACGAGACAGGTGACTATTTTCATGCGGGCAGCCATACTGTGTGATTTCTCAATTGGCTCCGCCTTTATTTAAATGTTGCGTAACCTTCCGCACTAGAAAGTAGTGCCAACATCGCACTATAACAATATAACACTGTAACAGTAATGATGCCATGTTCAATGTTATAATTATTTAATAATCCGAGTTGGCCACCCAGTGGTTGGAAATGGTATTGCAACTTGTTTGCCAGAAAAGCAGTCTGAAACGTGGCTAGCACAAGCTCCATTTTTTGTTATCTTTTCTTCGATTTAAGCGCTGAATGGCATCGTCTGTGAGTACTGAACTAATAATCTTTACTTTAGAGTACTAGTTTGACATTTATTTACATCTTAAATGCTAGTTAGTAATTTTACATTGCGTTTTTGTATTCATATGCTGTATCTCTGTGTTGCAGTTTTACACTTTCCTCATTAAAAGCTGCTAAAGAACCAAGTGGAGTGCTTCTTTGCGGATGGATGGGGGAGTGTTTAGCTACCTGTATAGCTGAGTTTTTCGTAAAAATCTACAGTGCTCAGCGAGGCCAGGACAGTAAAAAGACGCTCCATGCTAAAGCTACAAGGAAAAGAAACGTCTTGTGAACCATGGACGACAAAGACAAAGGACAAAAGGAAGGTGACACACAGAAACTACAGTCAAAGCCAAGCCAAGCGTACACTATCCGCTCTAAAGTCTCACGCACATCGTCAAGTTCATCTGTGTGTTCTACAGTCAGTTTAGCTGCAGCTAAAGCTAGAGCTAAGGCTGAAGCGGCTAAAGCTAAATTAGAGTTCCTGGAAAAGGAAAACAACATTCAGATTGAGAAAGCAAAACTTGAAGCTTCATTACGTTCTCTCAGTCTACAAAGGGAAGTTAAAATTGCATATGCAGAGGCACAAGTACTAGAAGCAGCTGCTGCAGACATAGAGGGAGAAAAATACAGTGAGACATCAGATCTGACCACTGCACATTTGGACACACTGAAAAGGACAGAAGACTATGTTAAAGAACAGTCAACTAACTTCAGTCAGTACATGTACAGGGATGAAAAGACAGCCTCACGCCCTTATGTTTCTCAGCCTGCCGCTAACAACATACAACAATACACTGTATCAGATGAGTTTACGCCTCTCTCTGTGCATACACTGGACAGGACAGGAGAGATTTACAAACAACCTCCTATCTTCAGCTTAAGCCCTACGAAAGAGGAAGTGATATACAACAGTAATGTACCTCCGATTCAAACAGCTTCTCCTAACACTATCGTTCCAGGGAACCACACAATTGATCTTGCAAGATTTTTAGCACGCAACCAAGTTATAACATCTGGCCTTAAAACATTCGATGACACTCCAGAACATTATCAAGCATGGCGAGCTTCATTCATCAGTGCTATAGAGCCACTAGGATTGTCACCTAGTGAAGAGATTGATCTGATGGTGAAATGGCTGGGTAAAGAGTCCAGTGAGCATGCAGCCAGAATAAGAGCAGTAAATGTTGATCAGCCAATGAATGGATTGAAAGCAATATGGTCAAGACTTGATAAGACATATGGCTCCCCAGAGGCAATTGAAAATGCTCTCTTCTCCAGAATTGAGGCCTTTCCAAAAATCCAGTCCAGAGATGGCCGCAAACTTCAGGAATTAGCGGATCTTCTCCAAGAGCTTCTGATTGCTAATAAAAATAGCAAGTTGTGTGGATTAGCCTATTTGGACACTGCTAGAGGCGTGCAACCAATCGTGGAGAAACTGCCATTCCCACTTCAGGAACGCTGGATGTCGTGTGGCTCCAAGTTCAAAAGAGACTATAATGTGCATTTTCCACCATTCTCCTTCTTTAAAGATTTCATTTGCACAGAAGCTGAAGTAAGGAATGATCCTAGTTTCAAACTTGTTTCAACCGCTACTCTGCCACAGCGGAAAGAAAGGTTTGGACCAGTTAAACATCCTGTGTCTGTCAATAAAACAAACGTTGAACAAACTACAAGTTCATCTTTCAAACGAGGAGATAAAAGTTATGTTAACCCGGAAAAACAATGCCCCATACATAACAAGCCTCACCCCCTAAGTAAGTGCAGAGGATTTGTTAAAATGACTCTTGATGAACGCAAACAACTTCTCAAAGAATACATGATTTGTTATCGTTGCTGTGCTTCAACTTCTCATATGGCAAAATATTGTCAGGCTCCCATCAAATGTTTGGAATGTGGAAGTGAAAAACACGTCAGCGCCATGCATTTCAGTGGGATAAGCGCCAGTCAAACCCCAAGTCAGCCTCCACCGTGCAAAGAGGACGGCGGGGAGGAAGGAACTAAAACAGAGTTCACATCAAACTGCACTAAAGTCTGTGGTAGAGAAGGAAGCGGCAAGTCATGCTCAAAGATTACTCTAGTTAATGTGTATCCCTCTGGCCAGCAGGAAAAGGGTAAGAGGATGTATGCTGTCTTAGATGACCAGAGCAACCTCTCTTTGGCTCGTAGTGAATTTTTTGACATGTTTAACATTCATGGCACTGAGGCCCCGTACAACATAACAACATGTATGGGTGCAATGCGGGCATCAGGAAGAAGAGCCCATGGTTATGTCATAGAGTCATTGGACAAGGAAACATGTCTCCAGCTCCCAACTCTGATCGAATGTGACAATCTCCCCAACAACAGGAAAGAAATCCCGACACCTGAAGCAGCCTATCATCACAGGCATTTGAGGAAAATAGCTCCGGAAATTGCTCCTCTCGATCCCAACGCCGAGATTCTGATTCTGATTGGAAGAGATCTGTTAAGAGTGCACAAAGTACGAAAACAAATAAATGGGATTAACAATTAACCATTCGCACAAAAACTGGATCTTGGTTGGGTGGTAGTCGGTGATGTCTGTGTCAATGGAATGCATGGACCACCAGCAGTAAATACTATGAAAACATGCATATCTGAAAATGGGAGACCCACTACATTTTTGAAGTGTGAAAACAAAATCAAAGTAACAGACTTATATGGAGAGACTACAGACACTTCTTCAGTCTTTTCCAGAACAATCCACGACCACCAGCTAGCTCCTTCTATCGAAGATAACCACTTTTTGGAAATAATGGAAACAGACTTTTATCAGTATGATTCAAATAGCTGGGTCGCGCCCTTGCCATTCCGGAACCCTCGTTGCAAGCTTCCAAATAACAGAGAATATGCTGAGAGGCGATTTACATCACTGGAGCGGACTCTTCAGAAAAAACCTGAGATGAAAAAGCACTACTTTGAGTTCATGCAGAGATTGTTTGATAATAATCATGCTGAGCTTGCGCCACAACTCAAAGAAGGAAAGGAAAGATGGTATTTGCCCAGCTTCGGAGTTTACCATCCGCAAAAACCTAACCAAATACGTGTTGTGTTTGATTCATCTGCACAGTACCATGGTGTTTCGCTAAATGATGTTTTGCTGCAGGGTCCAGACTTAAACAACAGCCTGCTTGGAGTTCTTTTAAGATTCAGAAAAGGGCCCATTGGAGTTCTAGCGGACATAGAACAAATGTTCCACTGCTTTGTGGTTAAAGAAGAATGCAGAGACATGCTACGGTTTCTGTGGTACCGCGACAATCACCCAGACAATGAGGTTGTCGAATACCGCATGAGGGTCCATATATTTGGAAACAGTCCATCACCCGCCATCGCCATTTATGGACTGAGGAGGGCGGCAAAGGAGATGGAGAGTGTCTATGACAGCAAGATAACAGACTTAGTGAAAAGACATTTTTACATGGACGATGCGTTGCTGTCATTCACATCTGATTCAGAAGCTTTCAATACCGTGGAACAGCTTCAAGAACTGTTAGCCATTTCTAACTTGCGGCTACACAAAATAGCGTCAAACAGTGTGAAGTTCATGAACCACTTCCCTGCTGAAGACAGAGCCAAGGATATTAAAGACTTGGATCTGTTTGCTGACGACCTTCCTGTACAGCGTAGTCTTGGGGTCATTTGGAATATCATGACGGATACTTTCACATTCAAGGTCCCTGAGAAGCCTAAGCCATTTACAAGAAGAGGCGTGCTATCAACAGTGAATAGTTTATTCGACCCCCTGGGCTTTCTAGCACCAATCACAATCAAAGGAAGAATGATCCTTCGAGGCATTACTTCTGACAATGTTGACTGGGATGCGCCTCTGCCTCAAACCAAATATGAGGAATGGAGAATGTGGCAAGAATCCCTTTGTGTTCTCAAAGATCTACATATTCAAAGAACATATGCCTCATTCTCAGTACCACAAGCAAAGAGAA